CATGTTCTATCATGAACCAAAGATTAACCAGTTCTGTGTACTCAAGTGCCAACAAGAATATTCTCACCTTGAGAGTATCGTAGCTTCAACTTATTAGACTTTGAAACATAATGAACAGTGAGAGTCATTAAAATTCATTGTATTTGACTAAAAATAATAAAAACTAGAGACTAAAAATTCCAGAAATAGATTCAGGCAGATAATCATAAGAAGCTAACATTGATAGGACCAAAAGAGCAAAGAATATTTACTCAATAAAACTTTGATATTTCAACTTTATCAATATAAATAATTTAGATCCACTTCTAGGTCAGATTCATAACTCCTTAAATAGAGAGAGTAACTATGGGAACACGTATATTTTTAGCTACTAAAGGAAAAGGAATCAGAGGAAAACCCAACAGACTCATTATTATTATCAGACTTACTAGACTAATATTTTTAAAACACTTGTATAATAGTTTTGCTCCAACAATAAAAGGAAAAAACAAAAATAAGGTTGACAATCACACTGGCAAATGCTTACCTTCCCAACTATATAAAGAATTCATGATCATTATAAAAACCAATATGGAAATTTTACAAGGTAAGTGGAAAGAGGAAAAATGCAGACTGTAAATCAAGTGGTAAAATAGACTAGCAAGTAATTACAGAAATACAAATTATGATTACTAAAGTACTTTTAAAAGTAGCAATGAATACTCATAACACTAGATTTGGCAATGATTTCTTGGACATGAAACCAAAAGCACAGGTAACAAGAGTAAAAACAGATAAATTGGATTATGTGAAGATGAAAAATTTCTGGACATCAAAGAACACAAACAACAGACTAGAAAAGGAACCTACAGAATGTAAATACTTGTAAATCATGTATCTGATAAGGGACTATATAAATAAGTCCTACAAATCAAAAGAAAACACAAATAATTCAATTTTAAAAATGGTCAAAGAACTTGAAAAGACATTTCTCCAAAGAGGATAGACGAACGGCCAATAAACATATGAAAAGATGCTCAACATCACTTATTATGAAAAGATACTCAACATCACTTATTATGAAAATGCAAATCAAAACCACAATGAAATATCACCTGACACCCATTAGGATGGTTGCTATTTAAAAAATAACAGAAAATAACCAAGTATTGATGAGGCTGTGGAGAACCGGAACCCTCGCACTGCTGTGAGTGTGAAATGGCGCAGCTGCTACGGAAAACAGGAAGGGTCCTCAAAAAAATTAAAAATAGAAATGTCATATGATCCAGCAATTCCACTTCTGGGTTTATGTCCAAAAGAACTGAAATCCAAAATACAAAAAGGTATCTGTACACCCACGTTCACAGCAGCATTAATTCACAATAATCGGAAGGTAAAAGCAACCCGTGTCCAATGATGAATGAATACATAAACAAAGCATATACACGAGATAACATTATTCAGCTCTCTCACAAAGGACGTTTTTGACACATGCTGCACAACATAGATACTTAGACATTATGCTAAGAAAAATAAGCCAGTCACGAAAGGACAAATACTGTATGATTCCACTTAATGTGAGGTCCCTAGAGTAGTCAAACTCATGACACAGGAAAGCAGAATAGTGGGTGCCAGAGGCTGGGGGGCAAAGGGAAGGGGGAGTTTAATGGATACAGAGTTTCACTTTTACAAGATGAAAAAGTTCATAGTCACAACAATGTGAAAATACTTAACGCTACTGAATTGTACACTTAACATGGTTAATATGATAAATTTTATGTTATCTTTCACAAATTTTTTTAGAAACTGGCAATAGAAAAACCCTGAAGTTAGCAGCTATGTAGGAAAACAGATATATTCACAAGGGGAAGTGTGACCTTTCTACAGAGTATCTGAGAGTCTGTGACACGAGTTATAAAATCATTCATGCTCATGACCAGGCCATGCCACTCTGGGGACTGTATATGTCTGCCAAATGTGTAGAGATGCTCAGAGCAGCACAATCTAAAATAATCAAAACACTGTTTACAACTTAACAGACTGACCAAACATTGTATAAGCAAAGCACAGTGGTATAAAATACTGCAATTGTCCATTCACGATATTTTTGAGGTCACAGACCCCTTTGGCGAGATTACGCTTTCCACAGAAAAATATATAGACAGTTTCAGAGCTCCAGAAACCCATTCATGGAATTCTTGTGTGAGAATTAACCACCCTGAGAAAAAGCCAATCCCAGTGAGTCTATGGCCAAATGTGCATGGAAACAAAATTAAATGTAAAAGCAGAATAGACCAGAATACTGACACTTAACTACCACTACAGAAAGGCCCAGAGCAAGGCGGGCAGGTGGTACCGGATGCGTAGAGGGAACCAGAAGGTGGCTAGATCTGAGGCGGAGCATGAAAGGAGAGGAGTCACTGCAGGTGCCCAGTGACAACTAGCTGTGCCACTTGCGCACATTTGTCACCCCCATTTCACAGATGAGGAAAGCAGGTTCAGTGAGGTAACTCGTTCCGAGGCAGAAAGCCGCCAAGTGGCCAAGTTAGGAGAACCGACTGGGAAACATCATATATATACATCATCTAAATGAGATCACTTAAATTGATACAGCCACAATGGAACACTGCCCCTATATTAAGAGGTGCTGAACAGAATTTACAGTGTAACCCCATTTTTGCATAAAAACAAATACATCCTATGCCTAGCAAAACCTCTAGAAGCAAACATGTCAATAACAATTTCGCAAAAGATTACTGAGGATTTTTTTTCAATTTTCTTATTTGTAAACCTTTACAATAAACTGTTTGTGCACAATTAAGTTATTTAAAGGAAAAGAGGGAGCACGGTGTTGAGCTGAGGGGCCTGCAGGGTAGAGGCTCCCAGCAGGCAGCAGGCAGTTCCCACCCAGCAGGCCCTAAAGTGCTGTAGGGGGGGGCCTCACTCAGGAAGGTCAAGGTCAACTCCCACAATGCACAGCTTCACATCTTTCTCATTTTGGGTTACTTTGCTACTTTCCTCTTGCCATTTCCAGATTGCATCAGTATATTTTTGTGTTGAATATGAACATTTAAAACAAACCGACAAACATCTGTAAGCCTGTTTGGGCATTTCATTTGTCAGCATCGCACAATAAGCCCTGCTTGAGGCCAGAGGTTCTGGTTTCCTCCAGTATCAAGTACAGAGAAGTCAGCCCCCACATAGGGCCTAAGAGTCCCTTAATAACCATGGTCAGTAGACAGACCCGGGTGCCGACAGAGTGGAGTGGGGGACAGTTAGGGTCCAATCTCCCCTCTGTGAGACACGCCATTTCTGCAGTTCTCGGCATGTATGGCCTGGACACACACAGGAGCCTCAACCATGCTTTCAGGCAGTTTTCTTTTAAAAGAACTTCTAGAAATCCAACATTTGCTATTCTTATACCTCATTACTTCTAATTTGTACCAGATCACCATTTTCTAGTTAATTGCCATCATCTACACCTCTGGGAGTTCCAAGGCAAGGCTGAAATCAGGTTTGTGCACGAGGATGCAATAATCGCCAACATGGTCATCAACCCCCGCGACCCAACCATCCCACCCGACCAGAGGATAACTGAGGGGGTTAACAGAAAGCTCCAAAGTCAAGACCACCGGCATGGGTTAGAGGCTGGGAGGCGTGAGCGCAGCCTCCAGCTGCCTGCTCTCTGCTCCTGGGTGTTAACGAGCCCCACTTTGTAACCTCTCAACACCCAACATCTATACACCTGCCGAGAAATTGTCAACCCGCCAGCTGCCAACAGTTGAGTTTCACAGGTGTATTTATAAGTTACCCATGAGGTTGTAAGAGTTTTGTAATTGTATAAGAAGCAAAAGGAGAAATGTGCCGAAGAGGGCAAGGCAGGTGGAGAGGCTGGGACAGAGAGAGGGGGTGGGGGGTGGTAAGCAAGGACAGGACCTCTGAACCTGCCCCCAGAGGGGCCCACTCGTTAGAGCCTGAGTCCTGGAGAGGCAGCTTGCTGGTGGGCACAGCAACTTTTAACTCCAATTTCTCTACCCACGTGAGGGTTTCACAAGGACGCAAGAGGCCGGCAAACAAAGCACACGGAGGAAAGCAGCCAGACCCTCAGGGGCTCTCTGGAAGGGAAGAATTCCCCCATCGTTTTGATTTGGTCACAGCACCTGCCTGTTCTGTTCTGGGTCTCACACCTCCCTTTCCCAAGCAAGGGTCCCTTTCCACACCCTTGGAAACAAGTCTTCAGAGCAGAGGCTGACACTGGTTTCTATTCTGAGCCCAAAATGTCTTGTGGGAGGCAAAACAGTACAGCCCAAGAATAAACACAGAATAACCAGTACAAGGAATTGGCTCCCAGGATAAAATGCTGCTGCCACGTCCCCACCCAGAACGCAGAATCGATTTAGAATCAGGATGCTTACTCTGGATTCCAGAAGCTTCTACTCACACCCTTTACACAGCCTTCGCCTGCCGTCGTACAGCACTTACACAAGTGAGCGCAAACTCTTGTCAACTGCCAAATAAACTTAAGCTAAAGCCAACCCGTTTTGTTGAGAATTGTGCTTAGACCCCAATCCCAAATACATTCCAGTCCCCCAAAGACCCAAATGTGGAAAACACATATTACACATCTGTTCTATTCTTAGAATGTTTCCCCTAAGCAAATGGAAAGAAAAATAGGTCCTCTTTTGACAATACCATTAGGAAACCCAGCCAAGTAAAGTTCCAGGATATTACACAGTACTCCCCACTCCCACCTTGATAGTGACCTTCATTGGCTGCGTGGCTGGCATCACATTTCTTGAAATCATCCCATTACACATTCCTAAGGGAGCAGAGCCCCCTCCCTGCCCACCATGACACCAGTTCTGTTTGGAGTTACTGCACTCGGTACCGAGTTAGTGACCTCAATTATTTGGAACTGCAGAAAAGCAAATTCAGGCCTAAATCTTTAATATGAAGATATATCCAACTTAATTATGGCTTACAGAAGATAAAGGTCAAAAAATATAGCAACAATACAATGATTCTAGTGAGTTTAGAGCTCAAACCTTTATTTGTGCTGTAATGGGAAGGAAAAAGGATTAGTAATCACGTACATGAGGCAACAGGGCTCGTTCTTACAAAACAGCATCATACAAGTACTTCAACCACCTGCTTTTACAGTTTCGATTTTGCAACAGCATACCCCACGTATTTCCCCATCCATGCGAGACTGATACTCTAAATGCCAATGACAGTCACTGATTAACAGATCAGGCCAAAGTATTTTTAAACATTAAAAAAAACCCCCCAAAACCCGCAAGACTGAAGAAACCCAAAAGCAAAAAGGATCAGGGATTTAAAATTTTTTAAGTGAAATTTAAGAGGAAGACATAACAAAAAGCCACCGATATTTATCAATTCAACAGAGGCATCTCAGAAACAAGCGATATCTTATAAAAGGTTATCGGATCTTCCCCTGAATTTTTACAAGACCACATATAGTAAAGGCCTCCCATTTTGCTTACTCCTCAAACTGAATTTGGCTGATAGTTTCTAGTACTGATCATTTAAACAGCAAATATTCAAACTAAAGATGGTAAAACTCTAACCTTAGCAAGGGTAGGTACATGAATGTTTGCTACCAAATAGTACAGTAAATTTTAGTGACCACGAAAGGTTATTCGGCTCTCCTTACAATGACTATGAAAATAAGCAAAAACTTGTTATTAACTGACAACAAAGAAAGGACAAACGATGTTTGCAAGGCACAAGGTAACATACAAAATTCCTTTAGAAATCATCGCATTTTTAAATATAGTTGACAGCTGACCATAGTGTAAAAAAGGAACCTTTACACAGCTATGTACAACTAGAAAAGGTTTTTTTTTCTCTCTTTCCATCCCCGGGCTCAGAATTTTCGATCACAGATATCTCAGTGAACCAAAAGATGAAGCGAGGAACCCAGAAGAGTATACACCCAATCTCGAGCGCACACCAAAATCGCAAACCTAAATGCTTTAAAAGCCCACAGTTGAGCATTTAGTGTCTTCCAAGACTGACCGCTCCTGAACACTGCCCACCTTCAGCATCAGATGAGCCCTCAAGCCTGCAAGGCACTGAAGGACATCAATCCTCTGCGGACCCAAAGTTTTGCCACCCATCTTTCAAGTGACTGATACTCAGGTTTTCAACTACACCTTGTAGCAAAGCAAAACAATTTTGCTTTCCTCCCTGCACTTACAGTTCTAAGTGCTTTTGTGCCTCCAAGCAACAATTTAACTAGCATTAACAATTTACTCATACTAACTAGTTTTCTTAGCCCATGAGCTCTACTGAATTCCCCACAGCTGCTCACTGGTCTTTTTTCCAGAGTTCCCTTCAACCCACATTCCCTACCACGCCCACCCTCTGTAATACACCAATCACCCCCACCCCTCCCAGTCCCAAGCTGTGCCCTCCCTTTTTTCAGAAAATTCTCTTCAACCCACATTCCCTACCACCCGCATCCTCTTCAATATGCCTAACCACCCCCTCCTTTTCTTCACCCCCCCCACCACCTCCAAGTACTGACCTGTGCCCTCCCCATCCTACAACCCTCACCTCAGGATCTTCCCATTTGTATACCAAGATTACTGTGAAATCTAATCAAGTAAAATTCAAGTTAAACAGAGCAAGCTGAATCAAAGATCGCTATCAGTACCCCGACCATTCCCTTCTCTTAAACTGTAATGCAGTCAAAATGCCCAAACCAGACCTGCCATTTCTAGTAATTTGGGCATGAGCAACTTGTACCCTCCCAAGACCACAAACGATGATCCCTCCCCCCAATTTACTTCATCCAAGTATTTGCCTAAGGCATTTCCAACTTGACCATTTCCCCACAGTTCCATCACACTAAGAACTCCTCCGACCAATGCACAGGCAGGCGAGGGGGTGAGAGGGTCCATCTGCAAGGCATCGCTCTCCGTTGTGGCATCAACATTATAATGTTCTACAGCTTAAGAATCTTCTGGAAGCAAGGTTCGTAGCACAGAACTAGTAGGACAGGAGGCTCAATTAAGAAGATGCAGCATCTCAGCATCTGCAAATCTCCACCCAGAAAGGAGGGGCGCCTGCTGGCATTCACGTGCCCAGAGGTTGCTGCTCCCGGATCAAAATTCAAGCACACACATTTGCTGGTGGCCCCGGATGCATCTGCTTTGGATTTAAAACTGGCCCCTCAGAAGCTCATCTGAAAACCTTAAATGATGGCCTCCTGAATACAGGGCTTCCTGAGCAAGGCCTGGAAACAGACACTGGAGAACTTCCTCCTAAGACTCTGGAAATTCAATCTGCAGGCATCAAATTAGGCGGGCTCTCCTCCAGGGTCTCCCCTCCTGCACTGCTAGGACTCATTGGCCAGGGGCTCCATTTCTCCTGGTGCCATCTGATCGCCATGATGAACACTACAGTAACAAACCAGGGTCCATGAAGCACTTTCATAACTTTCAGCTGCTGCCATCGCTGCGGGCCCACCCAAGGGTGCACATTCAGTCCCCACCCTCTCCACCAGCAAGCCACACGACCCGCCCCACCCAGTCTCGACAGGGAGAGCCTTTCCTCCTCCAAGATTACCAACAATACCGACTCCAATAGGAACTGGAGCAATTTTTACGGGCTTACCAGATTACCAGAAGCAATATTTTAAGAGAACGGACAACCTCGAGAGAGTTAAAGGGAGGAGGGGTAGAGTGCGCTCACAGGAGAGGTTAGCACCGAACCTAGAGGAAAAGTCCAAAGGGGAGCACTGCCACCTGGAAAATAAAGCGTGGGTCAATTTTGTCCAGACACACAAATATCCAGCCTCAGCAGCTCCTGCCTACCGCATGAAATAGGCACCACACCAGCAAGCGCTCAGGATGGCACCTTACCTCCTGAACCATCCTTAGACCACCCTCACCACCGACCAGGGATCTGGCCTCACCCAGACCTGGGTGCCAACAGGCTGGGCCAAAATTACATACCACCCTGGGCCAGAGCCGTCAGCCCCGCGAAGCTAAGTTGAGTTTCCACAAGACCAGGCCTCATCCCCAGGAGGGTTCACAACCCTTTGTCTGGAAAAAAAGGGGACTGCTGGTATTGACAAGTTCAAGTCTACCCTCCCGGCCCACCTGCGGCCCTGCACCCCGCTGCCTGTCTTCCTGATCATTTTTCAGGGCACCAACTGCCCAATTCCACCCGGTCTCCTACAGGGGTGGCAAGACCCTCAGCCTCCTCCATCTTCTCCTGTCTCAGCCCTGCCTCCTTCCACACAAACTAGGGTCCTGGAGGCACACTCAGCCCAGAGGCCATGTTCTCCTTCGACAGGCAGCAGTGACAGCCTGGCCTGGAGCGTCGCTGTCCTCCCCTAGGTTACTGAGGGGCCCTTCCAACGCAGCTCTCCCTAACATAGCTCCCCTGAAACCTAGTCTCCTCTTTATCTTCAGCCTTCCTTCTCCTTGTACCCCCACCTCCCCAGCCTCATCTTCTAATTCTGCCATCACCCCCTGAGGCCCTAAACTGGCCACTTCCTCCCACGCATCTGGACCCAAGAGAGAGACCCTTCCTGTAACTAACTCCTAGTAGACGGGTCACAACTTTTGCTTTTATAGCCCTTGGCCGCATCACCCAGGGCATTGCTCAACGGGACGATTCCTCCACTGCCACCGGAAAAGAAGTCCGTCCCCGACCCTGCCCAAGGAGACGCTTTGGGGCGGTGCTCGGTCTCCCCGGGCGCCCGTCGCCCGCCCCCACCCCCACCCCGCCCGCTCAGCAGGGCTTCATGAGACTGCCAGACCTCAAGGTCACGTTAAGGAGGCGGATTCTAGGGGCATAAGTCTCCCTTTAGCCTGGTTGCGGGGCGCACTGTCCCCCGAGAGAAGGGCCGAGCTGGGAAGGCGGGCTGGGGCCGCTCTCCTCGTGGGGGCGATTGGGGGCTGCCGAGGTCGCCTCAGGTCACCCCGCCCCAAAGAAGGCCGAAAGAAGGGCCGGCAGAGCGTCTGGAAAATTCCAGGCGGCGGCGGCGGACGGATCTCTGCAGAGGGCGCATCACTCCCGGAGGCGGCGGCGCGTGACTCCTCGGGCGGCGGCTCGGCCGCGTGAGCGC